ATGTGGAATGTACAAAGTATGAATCTAGGAAAATTGGAAGTCATCAAAAATGAAATGGAATGAATAAACATTGATATTCTAGGCATTAGTGAGCTTAAGTAGACTGGTATAGGCCCATTTTGAATCAGACAATCATATGGTCTACTATACTGGGAATGATAAGTTGAAGAGGAATGATATCGCATTCATCATCAAAAAGAATATTTCAAGATCTATCCTGAAGTACAACGCTGTTGTTGACAGGATAATACCCATACGCCTACAAGGAAGACCAGTTAATATGACCATTATTCAAATTTATACACCAACCACTAATGCCAAAAATGAGGAAATTGATAATTACTGTTGATTGGAATGTGAAAGTTGGAAACAAAGAAGGATTGCTAATTGGAAAATATGGCCTTGGTGACAGAAACAACGCCGGAGATCTCATGGTAGAATTTTGCAAGACCAGCGACTTCTTCATTGCAAATACCTTTTTTTCAACAACATAAACAGCGACTATACACGTGGACCTCACCAGATGGAAAACACAAGAATCAAATCGACTACATCTGTGGAAAGAGACGATGGAAAAGCTCAATATCATCAGTCAAAATAAGGCCAGGGGCTGACTACAGAACAGACTAATTGCTTATATGCAAGTTCAACTTGAAGCTGAAGAAAATTAAAACAAGTCCACAAGAGCTAAAATACAACCTCGAGTAATATCCAACCTGAATTTAGAGACCATCTCAAGAACAGATTTGACACATTGAACACTAATGACTGAAGATCAGACAAGTTGTGGAATGACATCAAGGACATCATACATGAAGAAAGCAAGAGGTCATTCAAAAAACACGCAAGAAAGAAAAGACCAAAATGGGTGTCAGAAGAGACTCTGAAACTTGCTCTTGAATATCGAGTAGCTAATGAGAATGGAAGAAATGATGAAGTAAGAGAGCTGAACAGAAGATTTCACAGGGTGACTCAGGAAGACAGACTAAAGTATTATAATGACATGTGCAAATACCTGAAGTTAGAAAACCAAAAAGGAAGCACATGCTTGATATTCCTCAAGCTGAAAGAACTGAAGAAAAAATTCAAGCCTCGAGTTGCAACTTTGAAGGATTCTATAGGCAAAATATTGAATGACGCAGGAAACATCAAAAGCACATGGAAGGAATACACAGAGTCCCTGTACCAAAAAAAAAAATTGCTCAACGTTCAACCATTTCAGGAGGTAGCATATGATCAAGAACTGATGGTACTGAAGGAAGAAATCCAAGCTGCACTGAAGGCACTACCAAAAAACAAGGCTCCAGGAAATGATGGAATATCAACTGGGATGTTTCAACAAATGGATGCATCGCTGGAGGTGCTCATTAGATGTCAAGAAATTTGGAAGACAGCTACCTGGCCAACCAGCTGGAAGAGATCCATATTTGTGCCCATTCCAAAGAAAGGTGATCCAACAGAATGTGGAAACTATAGAACAATATCATTAATATCACATACAAGTAGAATTTTGCTGAAGACCATTCAAAAGCGGTTGCTGCAGTACATCAACAGGAAACTGCCAGAAATTCAAGTCGGATTCAGAAGAGGACATGGAACAAGGAATATCATTGCTAATGTCAAATGTCAGATCCTGGCTGAAAGCGGAGAATACCAGAAAGATATTTACCTGTGTTTCATTGACTATGCAAAGGCATTTGACTGAGTGTATCCTGACAAATTATGGATAACACTGGGAAGAACAGGAATTCCAGAACACTTAATTGTGCTCGTGGGAAACCTATACATAGACCAAAAAGCAATAGTTCAAACAGAGCAAGGGGATACTGTACAGTTCAGAATCAAGAAAGGTGTGTGTCAGGGTTGCATCCTTTCACCATATTTATTCAATCTGTATTCTGAGCAAATAATCCAAGAAGTTGGACTATATGAAGAAGAATGTGGCATCAGGATTGGTGGAAGACTCATTAACAATCTGTGACATGCAGATGACACAACCTTGCTTGCTGAATGTGAAGAGGACTTGAAGCACTTACTGATGAAGATCAAAGACCACAGCCTTCGGTATGGATTATGCCTCAACAAAAAGAAAACAAAAATCCTCACAACTAGACCAATAAGCAACATCATGATAAGCGGAAAAAAGACTGAAGTTGTCAAGGATTTCATTTTACTTGGATCCACAATCAACAC